CTGCTATATGTTTTGCATTGAGGTGATACTTGAGGCTTGATGTGCTGCGGTGATATGCGAATTCCTTTTTGCATAATTTGCACACAACCGTGCTCTTATCGACGCTTCCATCCGTCCGTTTTTTAAAACAACATTTCCCACTGTTGTTCACTGTGGTTTGTTGTTGTCTGAAGTCATGAACGTTAGTTGGTGCTCCAGTATAATCGGTACGCCTGAAACTCATCCAGTGAGAAACGTTCCGCGGTGCAAAAATAAGTGCGATTAAAATGCGTTAATTTTTGTGTAATTAATTAATCTTAATTAACGCGTTAAAGTCCCGGCCCTAGTTCAAATACAACATTACTAACCTATAACTCCGCTCAACTGGAAAAAGAGAAGAAGAAAGAAGAAGAGAATCCTCCAGGAGCACAGCGTTCCTAATCATGAGGAACTATAGGCCCAGTCACACACCTGGAGTTCCTAGGCATCACATCAAGCTCATGGTATTAACGTTCCTCTAACCAAACTGCGTGCATCCACATAAACGTCTTCAACGACAGTTGCTCTTCCTCACCGGGCAACCGTACTTTGCATGCGGATATTCTTCGGCACGCCATCATCTCCCGTTTCATGGACGTGGCATCCGCCGGCCTCACGACGACCGCGTTTTCCCCGACTTAAGGACGTGCACCGCACATCCTCCGTTTTGGGGGGGACATCTGCATGAGATCATCCGCATAGCGGCACACTCAGATTTCCACTATTGCTACACATTTATTATCACACTCGCTGGATCTAACACCTCGAAAAGAAGAAGTCAATCTAAAAAGCATCCGGGGCCTCTTAGCAGGAGTGCAGTTTAACGTTCGCTGTTCCGATCCCGGCTTTCCCAGCCTGTTCGCAAACCAGTCAGTCAAACTCATCCTCAAAGGTCTCATTAAAACTTTTCCCCCCGTCTTAGACCGGAGACGCCCTATTACACTCTCCACTTTACGCCTCATGCTCTCCAAACTTAGAAGTGGGTTATTCTCCCCTTATATCGATGCGCTACTCGACGCTCTATTTCTCCTAGCTGTTATGCCTTTCTCAGACCAGGTGAATTTACCACAGCTTCCCTTACATTCGATTCCAATCGATACGTCAGCTTTTCTGACATATCCTTTCACGCTAGCCACTTTAGCTTATATCTTAAACACTCCAAATGCGGCGGCGCTGCTCCGTCATCGCCGCCCGCATCGACTCCCAGTTCTGCCCTTATAAAATCCATAATCAAATTCCTACAGCTTAGACCTACCTCTAATCCTCTCTCACCATTATTCCTTATCTCAGGGAATTTTCCTTTAACTCAACGACAGTTCAATATCTATTTAAAACAAGTCCTCATTAAATCCGGGTTATCACCCCTTCTATACACGGGGCATTCCTTTAGAATAGGCGCAGCTACTTCCGCTGCTAATCAAGGTGTCTCATCCTCATCCCTGCAACAACTCGGACGGTGGTCCTCCTCCGCTTTCTCATCCTACATTCGCCCTGACCTCAATGCCGTGCTGGCTATCCAAAGGTCTCTCCAACCTTAAATTGGTACGTATGCATATAACTGGTGGTGGTTCCTAGCATGTCAGCACGTATGTCGCCCCGCGGCTCATGTTTATTCCTGCATATCTAACCCTGTATGTCCAGGTTGTAAAACCTTCGGGTCTGTATAAATGTGTCCCTGCTAAGGCAGGTTGCCCCGCACGTTCGGGAAGCCCTGCCCGTTCCGGGCGCCCGCATGTCGGGTCGCCCGGTGCGTCCGGGACGCCCTGTATGTCCAGGATGCCCTGTATGTCCAGGATGCCCCGTACGTCCGGGACGCCCTGTATGTCCAGGATGCCCCGTATGTCCGGGACGCCCTGTACGTCCAGGATGCTCCGTACGTCCGGGAAGCCCCGTATGTCCGGGTCGTTAACCTCCGGTCCGTATAATGTGTCCCTGCTAAAGTCAGGTTGCCCCGCACGTTCGGGAAGCCCTGCACGTTCTGGGCGCCCCGCACGTCGGGTCGCTCGGTGCGTCCGGGACGCCCCGTACGTCCGGGACGCCCTGTATGTCCAGGATGCCCTGTATGTCCAGGATGCCCTGTATGTCCAGGATGCCCCGTACGTCCGGGACGCCCTGTACATCCAGGATGCCCCATCCGGGAAGCCCTGTATGTCCAGGAAGGATGCCCGGGAGGCATCAGATGTTTAAATTCTCACATGTATTAACCTCTCATTTCCATCCATAGATTTCCACTGCATCCCACAAGGTAAGATCCTTCACGTTCAGTACTTCATACTTCATTCTTTTGGGGGTTCATCGGAAACGGTTCTTCCCTTCCCGATTGATATCCTACAAAACCTGGGCCTAATCGCCAAAACACCATTTCATTCACTTGTTATAAACTGTCATCATTATGTTTCATTTATATAATGTGACCGATAATAAATATGTATTCCATACATCACGTCTCTCCTGATTGAAATGAAGCTTAGAGCAAGTTCAGACAGGAAGACCTATCACTCCGTATTGCACGTCATGTCAATACTCGCTCCCTGCACTAAATGACAGGGAGCGCCACTCCTCAGCTAACCTATCACTCCCCTCCATTTACAAGCCTAATCATCGCACCTGTTAATCCCTCTATATATGCTCTCCCCTTTCCTATCAGCTGTCTTCCAGGTGTCAACGCGCAACCCTCCTCCACCCCTTCGCCTCCTGCTTTCAACTCAGGACCAAGCTTAACCTTCTCCCTTCCAACCGGACCTAACCACTTATCACCACCACCAGTGTCTAGACCCAGGGGGGTTCATCGGAAACGGTTCTTCCCTTCCCGATTGATATCCTACAAAACCTGGACCTAATCGCCAAAACACCATTTCATTCACTTGTTATAAACTGTCATCATTATGTTTCATTTATATAATGTGACCGATAATAAATATGTATTCCATACATCACGTCTCTCCTGATTGAACTGGGGTAATTTGGGTGGATTTTCCATATCTCTGGCCCCCCTTTCTCAATGTTGCTGATTGACATCTCTTTCTAACCGTCAGAGCCAATGGAATCGAGGGGAACTCCCACATACTCCTTATTGGTAATGTGTGTGTGTGAGACTGACGCATAGCCAAAACCGGAAGCTGCAATAACTCTGGTGGCTACCATTAGCAGCTAACTTTTACTCTCCGATTTTTACATAAAAATGAAATTATGGATTATAAATAATTTTTTCAAATCGACAGAAACATTATCAACCTATGGATTAACCGATTCAGCTGCGTTTTTTCTCGTTTCAATGCCATTGAACAAGTCTTTTGATCAGATTGACAGCTACGGTGAGACGATCTCCCGTAAAAGCTCCGTAAAGGTACGTGTTGTGATGTTTGTGTTTGCTTCCCCTGTTGCGAGTTCGGACTGCTCAGTGATGATACAATAAAGCTAAATAATCTGTGGAACCTCAGCTTTAATCGGATATCTTTTATGTGCAGCTACGATAAGTAATAAGGGTATCTTTATCTTGAGTTCTGTGCCAAAGTGCGTTAGCATTTTTCGCTCAGGGGTCATTTAGATGCTTCTTATGAGACTTGTGTTTTGTTTTGATAAAAAATGGTTTGTATCGTCAGTTAGCTGAGATTCTTCCCGTTAATCTGGTATAACACATTAATAGGTTCTTAAATATTAAGATGTCCTGCTGAGACACAGTGTCGTGAAAAAAAAAAGCCCCCGCCGAGGGGGGCTTTGGGGCTTAACAGGTTAATTGACTATTAGTAGAGAATAACGAGTAATGAATATACTTTATAGGGATCTGCAGATAAATGTTTAGTCTTTTCAAGCACCAACTATCAAATATCTCGCCTGATTGTTGGCACTTGACAATCACCTTCCCTGAAGATTATGGAATTAAACAAATAAATAAAAACAAGGATAATTGTGTGTTATTGGTGAGTAAATAACAGTGTGTTATTTAGAAAAGAATAACAAATTAGAAGGAAAAAAAGATTTAAAAAAATACAGATTTCAGTATTCTGAGGCTCTGAGCCCCATTTATTTTCCTCACAGACGACAAAAAAAGTCCGACATTATACGATTTAAAATAAAAACAATAATCGTGGCTTGATATTGAGTAAGAACATGTTTTTATGAACCCCACAGCTTCCGGTCTTCCAAGACCCGACCGGACAAAAAGACGTGCTGCAGGCACGAAACACACTACCAATGGAAATACATTGCTTTTAAAATCATTCTGTGTGACACGAAAAAAAGGGGAAAATCGTGTTGGTGAAAACGAATCAATAGATTACATTTTGTGACTATAACACGAAATGCAGTGAGACTGGGTTTTATGAGGGCATCATCCAGGTTCTCATAGTGCACTGCATTTTGCTATACTTCTTATAAAGTCGAGAAGTAGTAGCATTTGTTGTAGGCTGACCCAGATTTGAGCATGGCAAGGGGTCCCTCAACATGAAGCAATGGGATTTCACCATTGGATTCCATTAGGAAAAAAGAAAGTATATGATACTTATAGTCCCTATATATTAACACCACTTTTACAACTTTTAGCATGAATGCAATCGCCACAAGTAAAAAGCTAACATTTGGTTATAAACTAACGACATTCAAGTCACGTGACTTCATGTCACTATAAGGAGATAAGCACTAAGCTACAAGCGGACTCGTCTTTAGTGTAATGACTTATTTCAGGAGTCGAGACAAAAACTGTAAACCTCAAAAGAAGGGAACTAGAAGTTGGAACTCATTTGCAGGTTTAAGGTTTCGATCCTGCATCACTCTATTGGACTCAAAGTAGAACATGTAAGCAAGGAGTGCAGCACGCCTCACTACTAACTTTACTTTTTTGACCTCCCTTGCTATATTATTTCATATGGTTGTAACTTTAGAGGTGAATCATTTGAAGTGTATCAGGAGAGGAATGTGCTGTTTAACCTGATGCAAACTTTAAACTGCTATGGCCCTGTGTGGACATCTCAGTGTAAAAATACCTTATGGCACAGTGTTTCTGGTCCTCCAGGAAAGCCCAATGGTAGGACACGGGCAGCGGGGAGGAGTTGGTCATCGAGATCTCTCTACGACTCCCCGTGCAGTTAAGCACACACCCAAAGTCCACTGTGGTGGAGGAAAAACGAAGGTTGGAGAATTGGACCTCAGCATGCAGTTCCACAATGTCCCTCTGCGGGTGTCCCCGGTAGTGTAGCTCAAGGACCTTGGGGAAAAAAAAGTCAACATTTTGTCCAAAATACATATCTAAGTTAAACATTTCAATGGGGAAAGTAAGTCAACCGATTTCACTTTCCTAGTTTCTTTGTTTGCTTAAACTATATGACACTGAAAATACTCTTCTAAATTCAAAACCTAACTTAATTAAAAGAATATATATTTTTAAAGATTTCAAATAACTCAATCTGCAGGAACATGGTCCCCGAAAGTGCTTTACTATTATATTTGATGTTTCTGGATAAACATTACTCTGGCATAATGCATTTCACCTTCTTCACCTACTGCTGGGTAATTTGGTCTATAGTCATGAATCATATCATCGGCATATAAAACCATTATGGGATTAGATCGGTATGCTGCGGGATCCACATACCTCTAAAAAGTTGTATTTTCATAACAAAAACAGCTCAGTATTTTTGCCTTGTGACCATGTATTTTCAAGAAACGGAGCTATGAAATGTTTCAGAAAAAATGTCTAAACCCATAAATAAACCCAATAGATAACCCATAGATAGGCAAGCACATATAATGCCTGTGTAGGACATGCCTGGGGGGGGTGACAGGTTTAGAGAGAATAAGAGTGGTCCGGTGAACAACCTCGGGTACACCGTAGTCTATTTTTGCATAGAATTACCATGAGTTGCCAATGACTTCAGTGAAGATCTGGGTTGTCAGTAGAAATAAAAACATTTTAAAACTGACCCAGAAATGTTTGACAAGTTTAAATAAAAATGAATCGGTAACAGTATCAAATGCAGCACTTAGATCTAAAAGAAATACAACTTAAGTGGCATCAGTTGCAAGCAGCAGGACATTCATCACACTAAGGAACAAGTCTTTTTTGTGATTTGACCAAATCAAGGCTGAAATGGCTCAAAGAGTCACTTTAGCAATGAATTGTTCAGACAACTTGATCCAGAAATGTAGAAAAAAAGGGCAGTTTGGAAATTGGTTTAAAATCATGCAGGGAGTTAGGGTTTCAATCTTGTTTTTTCAGACGAGTTTGAATGTGAAGGACTTTGAAAGCGCAAGCAGGGATTCTGATTTATTAATAACCTCAGTGAGAGTGTCAATACATATTATGTCAAAGAATGTAAAGAATATATGAACCCAGGTGAACACACAGCATTATTTAGGAATTTCGGTAACACTTTATATTAAGGTACACAAATTAACCATCAACTAGTTGTTAATTAACATGCATATTAGCAGTATATTGGCTCTTTATTAGTCATTATAAAACACCATTAGTTGAGAGTTTTTCATCAATAACCCTCTAATAAGTGCTTATTTGTTGCAAGTAAGGAAGTTGTTGTACATGTACATTGTACAGGTTAATTAGAGTCAAACTAGCTTGTTGGTTATGAACAAGACTTCACTTTAAAATAGGGAACACATTCTTAGATATACATACCTACTTTTGAGTTATTTACACACAATTAACACTTATAGTTTCATGTCTTGTTACATAATAGATCATATTTGTTAAGTGTTATTATGGGAGAATTACTATTCTTGTGGTACTACTGCCTTATCAGGCCCATATTGAGCAGCGCATATTAAGACCAAAACTCATGTACAACAACTTCCTTACTTGCAATAAATAAGCACTAATTAGAGTGTTATTGAGTAAAAACTCTCAACTAATGGTTTATTACTTGTAGAATATGGTCATGTAGAAAAAGGTTTATAGGCATTAATAGTTTTATAATGACTAATAAAGAGCCAATATACTGCTAATATGCATGTTAATTAACAACTAGTTGATGGTTAATTTGTGTACCTTAATATAAAGTGTTACCGGAATTTCTACAGAATGAAAATGCATCACTGTTACCTCATCCAAGACTTGTGACACCCGATCCCGGCAGTAAGATGGATCGAAGCATACCCAAAACTCAGCCTTTCTCCCGTTACCTAAAACCATGGACTAGAAAATAAAGACAGCAGTTATATATATACTGTAAAATAGTATTTTAAGTATCACATTTTCTTTGGATTAGTTAGTAGGTATACTTATCTAGGTTAAAGGTTCTTTATTGTCAAACTAACATAGCTACAGAGTAATTATGTCGTTGAAAAAAAGTCACAGGCTTCTCCAACAATGCAACACAATAATACAGATAAGCAGACAATATTAAAACAATATTAAAGTATATTATATTAAAAGTAATACAAAAAAGAAAAATAGTTTTAAAAAATGAATAGTGCAATACGAGTCTATATACAAGTTATTGGAATGATATATTAGATAATAGATAAATAATTACTAAGTAGCAGATGAATGTTGTGAAATTGTTTCAGCAGTTCAGTTGTTTAACAGTCTTATTGCCTGCGGGATGAAGCTGTCACTGAATCTGGCTGTTCTTGTCAGGATGCTGTGGTAACGCCTGCCAGACTGCAGCAGACAGAACAGTTTGTGGCTGGGGTGATGGGGGTCTTTTATAATCCTGAGGGATTTCTTCCTGAGCCGCTGGCAGTAAAGGTCCTCCATGGATGGCAGCTCCGTCCTGGTGATGTTCTCTGCAGTTTTCACCACCCTCTCAACACATGAGAGTGGTTCTTCAACTTAACTTTTTTGTTTTTGAGAATCTGGGCTTGCAAGCCTGATGGAAAATCATTATGTTTTCTATCTGATGACTCCCAACGCCTACGTTTACAACGCTTTTAATAACCTTCCCATAGTTTAATGAAACAGTTATTGTAAGCCTGTCATGGGACCAAGGCTTATCAAAACATCATCCGAAAACCTGCCAGGGGCTTAAACCATTTCAATGCAGATTTTACTACCATATTTAAATCAACTCTCAGAATCTGTGATCAAATTAAAACATGGGATTTAGGGTAACATATAAACAGAACTTCATTAACAGTTCAACAGTTTGTTATCATAATGAATCCACTGAGTGTGAGTCATCATAAAGGTTCAGGCAAATAACAGCAATGAATCATGAAGGAAAGCAACATTTACAGTAGAGAGTTTATGGCTTACAGTAAAACAATAACCTAGACCAATACATTAGCTGAGGTTGTTATTCATGTTTCCCCACACGTCAACAATAGGCAAGATGGACAGTTACCCAGAATTAAACTGAATTATTAGTGCCTTAAGCATAAGCATTTCAGAAGTTCCCCTTTTTAGGAAGTAATACTATTGTTGAAATTCTCATTGCAACCTGGACATCATTTAGTTTTAGACCCTTTTAAAGCTGTAGTGGGAAACATTTGTCTACCCTCTGGAGCAGTGAGAATAAATACACAAACACTGTCAAAGTGCACTTCAAATGTACGCCTGCACACATTACTGTAACGCCCCAAGGGATAGATGTCCCCGCCATAAATGACTTCTTTTTACTTTAGTCCTTTCTCTGAATGCGAAATTTCTATAAAAAAGGTAGATTTGTCTCAATATTATTTGAATGAACAGATTTACTATTTGTTTTTTAATGGATAATCTATAAAAGTAAAACAGCTTATACTAAGGCAAAAACGTCAAATAATAATAAAAGTCAAATAATGTGCAAATATAAAACAGATTTGCAAATCAAATTCCATAAATTAAAAAAAAGGAATCTCTAAATACATACATGCATTTTGATTTATTGTATCTATTTATTTTATTTTTGTTTCATAACAGGTCTCAGCGATTGGCCTTTTATGGAATAAACCCAGTTTTTGTATGAAGACCTCTTGCGTCATGTCTATTAATGGAGGGAGCTACAACATTCATTTTTAAAATAAACTAAATGATCACTGATTGTCTTAACGATGCCTCACAATTCCCCATTTTAGGAGCAGAACTAAACAACAGGGACCTTTCCGTAAAGAACACATCCTTCCTCATGTCTATGCTAAGCCCATGCCATACATCTGAGGATTTCCCTTGGCACCTACACACCTCCTGTCTCCTTACAATTATTCAGTTTGATAATTAAAAGTTTGTTTTTGAGATATAAGAAGCTATGATAGCAAAGGACATTTGGATGAGGTGGTCAATGGATATAAGATTGAAATGAAAGGGAGAGGTGTGTACCTTGGTGGTGGCTCTGATATGGGCTCCAGAGGCCTCACACAGGGAGAAGGGCTCTACCAGAGAGAGCTCCATGCACACAGGCAGAGATGACACATTCTCTAAGATCAGCTTCTCAAATAGGGGCGTAAGACTCTGTCCTGGAACCTGTGAGACATATATCATTAATCCAACAATTTAACAACATCTTTTCGGAACAGGAATCTTATGAAAGACTTACTTACACAATTGCATCTTATACAATTAAAACAGCCTTCAATAACCTTTACAGGGTTGCTTACATTATTAGTGAACTATTAACAATTCAGCTACGTCGTCAGGAATGCATCTGGTTTTTGAAAAAATATATAAAAAATGTGATAATGTAGGGACATTTACTGCAAGATATATTAGCTAAATTAAGACAAATGATTGTTGACCAACCTTCTCTATGTAGAATTTCAGCTGTTTGGAGGAGATGCTGAGCATAGGAGCCACAAAGCGACAGGTGACATCTACAGACATGATGAGCTCCTTCGTGCCCTGGTTACCCACAATGCCATGGCATACCAGGCGCTCACGTACAAGCTGAGGAACACAACTATATTAATAATAAAGATGTATTTTATTGGCACTTTTCATGCACAATATGCAAGTGTTTCAACAAATTAAGAAGACATTAAAGTCAAGTCAAATGTTAAAACCTATTGGCACATATGCAGCATGTGTACCTGATTCCATAGAATACAAGGAGGTAAAATAGGCAAGACGGTTTACAAAATAAAGTAATCCAGAAGTTAACCACGGATAAGGCAGTCAGGTAAACTAAGAAAGACCTAAGACAAAATGAATACATAAGTTAAGGTTAAGTTAAGTTAATTTTTAAAAAAAGGTGCATTTTCAGCTATTGTTTAAAAATGTTGACTGAGTTGAATATTTCTGAGTTTGGGAAGGTAGTAGATAAAAGCTGCTTCACCCATTTTATTTTGGGGAACATTAAGAATATTTAAAAACCCTGTTGTAGAGAACCTTAGGGCACAGGAACATGAAACAATAGAGAATAAGTTATGTCAGAATCAGAACACCTGACCTATACTAGGGGAAATTGGATTTAGTGACAGTTATTCCATTTAAGAAAACATTTAAATAAAAGATAAAAGATAAAGTGGGTGCCAGACCATTAAGAGCTTTGTATACCAGAAGAAGGATTTTTATTTCAATTCCAAAAGAAGGCAGGGACGACCTTCATCTATAACTACAAACAATTGCTCTAATCTAACAAGCAAACACTGGCTGTGCTTATACAAGTCAGAGCATGAGTTAATCTCCTTTTGGGCAAACCGTCTCACCTTGGGAGAGTCTGAAGATCCCGTCAGCACCATGTCAACGGAGTGGCCTGGGAAAAGCTCCGCACGAAGAGGTGTGAGGCTGAACACCGGCTTCTCCCTGCTAGACGGGAGCGAAGATCCATGGCCCAGAATGTCCTTCTTCCTGGGAGCAGAGATGGGGGGCAGGACGGTCCGGTCCGAAGGGTTTACCCCCTTCTGGGTTTTTGCAGAGGGCAGGAAGTTATCAGAGCGCCAATACATCCGTTGCACACGCTTGCCATGGTTGGTCAGCTTAAAGTGGTACTGGCATGACTCATGGCTTATAGGACATATAGAAGAGAGCAAGGTTAGGCATAGAGTCACTATTACATTTGTATTTCTAATTATGGTTATTATAAATGAATACATAGCTTAGCTGAAAACTAGATTCTGTTTGGTCAATATCTTTTTATGACAGGCTATTGCTAAAGACACTCTGATCAATGTGCAGTCATACCAATCCGCAAAAAGAAATGTGGTCAATTCATGACGGGTGTGGCCTGACACCATGGAATGCTTTTTCAATATTATTGTTTATATTTGTCAAGAGCAAGACACTGGATTCATGACGGCTAAACGGTCCTAAGTAAAGTAAAACAAAAGAGAACAAGAAAGCGGCGCAAGAGAATAAAAGATGTGGAGGACAGAGAGCTTGAGGACAGAGAAATTAGCAGAAGAAGACAGACAGGAAGTACAAACTAAAGGGAAGATGTTATGGACTGGGGGGGATTGTTAAAGACTTGGGAAATAAAGTAAGAACAGATTTTGACAGTTACTGGGCAGAAAACCTTAATCAGTACGGCCACGCAGCAGAACAGACTATTTTCTATAAGCTGAACCAATAGGAGGTTTATTTGATCTATACTGTGAGTTAAATGATTGATTTATTTAGCAAGTAGCCAAGTTATAAGTGGGATAATGGTGCTGCGAGCTGCTCGTCGGGATCCTGCTAGCCCTGTTGAGCTTATTTTCTCATTTATGTCCAACTTGCTGCACATTATCCCTTATGTTAATGCATATGACCTCTTTCATTCTACCTGAAGTATGCGCCTAGGTCAAGGGCAGGTGCAAAAGTCTTGTCACTGACAATTGTGGTGCCAGTGCCTGTGGCCGAGAGATGGACAGTGTGTGTTTGACTGTCCCGGATGGATATTTCCAGCGTGGCCTTGAAGTCCTGCGTGTCCTTCAGGTGTGCCACAACTCTCAGCTCAAGCTGGCTCTCTGGTGGCACTTCCCCCTCACTGGGCTCAACTCGCCCAAAGGACCCTCTATCCCACTGAGGACACACAAACACAAACAAAGTGTAAAGTTTGCTGGGACAGGATGCCTGCCCTCTGCATCTGTAGTGGTATAGTATTGGTTACAGCTTCGTAATGTTCATGACTATGAATGCCCTGAAAGGCAAGTAAGATTCAAATAAACTCTGGTCATCCATTGTTGTAAAAATGTTTGGGTCTCAATAGTTTTGTTCTTCTGTGTTTATGACTTAAAAACAACTGAAAAAAAAGTTTTAGCAAGTGTTTTTCTGTTTCTTGTTGTAATAGTTATTTAAGAGGCTAAAATGCACCATTACCCCATTTGTGAGGTTCCTCACTTTAAGAGATGGTGTTACTCCTTTTTATGTATTTTATTTTTAATTTTAAACATTTCCCTTTATTTGCCATGATATTTCATACAATTTCCCTTTTGGTGGACTTGAGTAGAGCCATTTTAATTAATTAATTATTATTCATCTTGACGCATAAACAATAAACTAATGGGCTATTGTGTACTTTGGGTTTAGAGTGAGAACATTTAACCAACCTAAAAGAAAAGGTAATTGCTTTTAGTACTTAGAAAGATTGTGCGATACCTTTTTTTTACCAAACCTAAATAAAAGAATTAAGGAATTTAGAAAGAATATCCTGACAAAATTGTATTTCCGCTGTTCTTGAGTCATAAACACAAGAGGAAAACAATTTAAAGACTTTCCTCTTTAGTACAGCGTACAGTTAAAACTGGTTTTAAACCCCCTTTTATACATCCTCATGGACCCTTCGTTTTATGGAATTTTAATTATTGTACTTTAACTGTATTTGTGTCATTGTGTTATGTTCCTTTTAAATTGGTATTTTCACATTGATCTTGTAAGATCAGTTTGTTGTTTTTACATTGTTTTACATTGCCAATTGTGTTTGTTGATTTGTGAAGCCCTCTGAGACAAATATGATTTGTGATATTGGGCTATATAAATAAACTTGAATTGAATTGAATTTATATCAGACTTAGGAATGGAACACTAGTCTTTGTTTTTCCTCTTGTGGCATCCGTACAGTATATGATTGAAACATGATGCAGGAAAATGTCTCCCTAGTGGGAGGAGCACATTCCCCTTTATGGTGCTGCACATGCCATTGAGGCATATATGGACCTGGACAGATAGATGTGTATATCATGAAGCTGCATAATCACATAACTATTTCGGAGAAGCCTAAGATCCTAGGGGTACAAGTAGTATGCTTGACATAAGTAAGATGAAATATACTATAATTATGAAAATGGGTACAGTGTAGGGATGTAACGATATATCGAATATCGCGATAAATAAATGCCTCAATACCGTCGTAACCAGGTGGTCACATTGAGATCATTGATCTCTTTTTCAAGGGAGACCTGTCCAACATGGCAGCAAGTAGGTTACAACATGAACATAAAACAACAGATAACACAAAAGGACATCATATTTACAGGGCTACATGTACATACCTAGAGACATTGACAAGTACCAACAGTATATTTATATCTCGCCTTGTCAATAAGCCTCACCTTCTTGGCAACAACTGTATTCTTTTTGAAGTGGTGGAGAGACAATGCACAGTTTGACCCACTGCTGTCACCCATGGCCAAAGCATATCTCTCTGTCCCAGCAACATCAGTACCAAGCAAGAGAGTTGTTTCCACAGCAGGGGCTATTGTAAACGCCCAAACATCCCAGCTTCTACCTGGAAATGTGGACATGCTCATATTCCTAAAAGATAACCTTGATGATGCTGAGTGAGTGAATTAGTGAGTTAGAGTTGAGTTACTTGAAAAACTAAAATGAAACTTGATTTATTGTATTGCAGGGTCTGATTATTATATTGTTGACACTTTAAAATACTACTATCCTACTAAAATGCTGTAAAAATCTGATTTATTTTTTCAAGTAAAAAAAAAAAGAAAATGGCAAGATAAAATGTTTAAAAAAAAATATCGCGATAAATATCGTACCGTGAGTTTTTGGTATCGTTACATCCCTAGTACAGTGTGATATACCATATATCAGTTGTATAGAAGCAGTGTAGGAGTGGTCAAATGTGTTTCTAAAATATACAAATACGAACAGTGGATATATTAAAATGTCTCCCATATACACTCTCCTATACAGTAGCCTACATACAGTATGCATATAAAAGGAAGTGCTGCAAAAAAACACAATATTCATTCTATTTCCCAGCTCTGTGGATGATTCGATTGAGATTAGTTGAACAAAGTCCAACGGAAAGAGAAAACAGATGTAAATCTAATGTTCATCTCCAGTCCTTCAACAAAGCCCTACACTTTTCTCTCTGTACTGTGCATATATCTGTGATCGGGATCACAATCGATGTCCTCTACAGCAAATCTGTTGATGGATGGCTGGAACATAAACTTATAAATGGGATGTTGAGCTTTCTCGAAGGTGCAGTGGAGCTTGGGCGTTTTCACTGCCGATAAGCCAACACGCTAGATTGTTCATCGATGGGGAAGAATGTCTTTGCTCAAACACTGCAATTGACATTGTTGTTGCCTGAAGCAGAAGCTGTATCAAAATCGTATTGGACAAATAAAATATGAAGATTTTGTTTGACGTCTCTGTGAAATATACTTCCTTATAGGAGGCCGGAAAAAAGCAAGCTGAGGAAGGATGCCTCACTGGGGCAGGCACCGCTTGACTTTAGGAGTCGTAGATCACTTTCTCAGCGTTTGTATAATCGGCTAGAGGTGCGGGTGAAAGCGGACTTGGTGCGGGTCGATACGAGGGGTGATCGCTGTAAGGGGGTGGGTAGAGTCAGAGGAGGAGAAAAAGCAAGGGGTTGATTCCCCGGAGAGAGTAGCAAGACGACTGGAATCTCAATAATCACATCAAACCTGCTGCATCCCACAGCTTGATTAGCATTGATTGCTTTTGAATGCAGCAAGTCAGGAGGTCTTGAAATTCAAATCGGTGCTGCACATGTACCAACATAAACCCCACATTGCTGCTGAAGTGAACATGGATGCTAGGTCTCCTATTCAAAAAATATCATAAAGTACCAAAAGTCAATATTTTGTAACATGAATCTTAATAGGTTCATATAAAAAATTACTAAAGAACATCTAAATCAGGGCTATTCAATTAGTTTGGAATGGGGGCTGGTTGATGAAAATCATCCAAAGCAAGGGGCCGGGAAAAAGATGGCTTGAAATATGAGCAATCATATTAAGAGCTTCAGATACAGTTAATACTACAACAGCATAGTGGAGTGCATATATTGTGTTTAATTAACAACATAGCCCCAAGGCCTTTATAGATCTAAATGGCAAGTTCAGAACTCAGTAGGCCTACATGTGAAGCTGATTTAACCATCAACATCATTTCATTTGATTTAATGTAGGTAAAACGTGAAATGATCTAATCATTCAAGCAGAGATGCAATAAATGACAGGAGTTGTCACTACAGTAGCTAGTGGGTTTGAATTAAACCCGAGCCCGCCAAAGTTTTCAGGCAATGTCTTCCCCTCTATCTCTCATTTAACACCCACTCTGGAATAAAGGCACTCTGGCCCAAAACAAAATATTAAAAAAAAAAAGTAGATTACTTTTTAAAGGTCTCATGTCATGGTCATTTCTACTGATCATAATTCCATTGTTGAGGTCTACTAGAATAGATTTATATTGTTCAATTTTCCAAACTCACATTTGTTTCTCATACAGCATCTCTGTATAGTATGTTTATTCTCTCTCTGTCCTAAACGGCTTGTTGGAGCTCCTGCCCCCCCCCCCCCCTGTGAGACACAGCGAAACCCAGCCCGAGCACACACACACACCCGCAGCCTCGCCGCGTCCCGCCGTCTCAGGCTGAGAAATCGGCGGAGCTGCAGCTGAGAAAAGATTGAGTGTGTGTGTGTGTTACTTAACTATACCCAAATACGTCACTATACCCAAGAAGTAAAAAATGGAAAAAGAGAAATCTCCAACGAGGCGTTCTGGGACTAAGGTGTGTCTTCTGCTGAGCCTACCTATTATTGTTATTATATATATATTGCCACTGTTATTATATTGTTTTGATACTACTGACACTTATTGATCTGCTGCTGATAAATAAAAGACCTAAAAAAAAAACCTACATAGCGATTAAACAGATCCTGTATCTTGCTTATTTCTCCTCTGACACTTTATCTTTAGTGACCTGTGTAGCATCCTATACATCACATGTAAGTGATTACCAGTGTTGTGAGTTATATTTTATTTTAATTAATTATAGTAAGGGAACATCTTAGGAGTTAGTGTAGTGAGTTTCAGAGCAGTGTAATAATTATTTGAGCTAAAACTAAATGTTTTTATGAATGTCCTCTGAGGAGGACATGGGGATTTGCTAACTTTTTATTTCCTCCATTTTACAGAACACAAAATGGAGTCCACTATGGGCCAAAACTAACATGTAGGTTTCTGTAGGGTTCATGGCAGACGAATGCAGTTGCTCTCAGGAGGATATATAATAAAGGTGTGTTAACTGCTGAGCCTATTTACTGTGCATACGACACACCTGGCACAGTTTGTTATTATTTTGCCACACTGTTTTGATACTGACATTTTTATCTTTGCACTAACTAAGGTGTGTCTGCACTATTGTAATTTTAAATAACTCAGTTACAAAGCTGTATAACACGAGCACCAAAACTACAACTTCAGTCAACTCTGGTGACTGACCTGCCAGTGTGCAACTCGATTTTAACAGGATAACAACTGGTGACTTCTAGAATTGTGTGAGTAACATTCTGTTTTTAGACTTCTCTGTTTCAGTGTGTGTCTACTCTGTATAAATGCTCTGTAGTTGATCTGACTGAAATTGTGATTTTAAATCTCAAAACCGCTACAGTATCTGTTAGGCAGAAACTTGGTCTACCTGCATGTGCCATCCGACCTCTGCAGCTCATCCAGAATGCAGCAGCTCGTCTGGTCTTCAACCTTCCTAAATTCTCCCACACCACGCCGCTCCTCCGCTCCCTTCACTGGCTTCCGGTAACTGCTAGAATCCACTTCAAGACAATGGTACTTGCGTACCATGCTGCGAATGGATCTGGCCCTTCCTATATCCAGGACATGGTTAAACCGTACACCCCAGCACGTGCACTCCGCTCTGCATCAACCAAACGGCTCGCTGCACCCTCGCTGCGAAGGGGACCCAAGTTCCCATCAGCAAAAACACGTGGGTTTGCTATCCTGGCTCCAAAATGGTGGAATGAGCTCCCCATTGACATCAGGACAGCAGATAGCTTACACACCTTCCGGCGCAGACTGAAAACTCATCTCTTTCGACTCCACTTCGAGCAATAGAACTATTAACAATAATAATAATAAAGGACTGGCTTATCTAAAGCCAGTTGAGTAGCACTTGAAATGTTTTTGCTCTATGAAACCTGATGTACTTATATGATTCTGTTTTCTTCAAGTTTGTATTTTGTTGGTCGAACGCACTTATTGTAAGTCGCTTTGGATAAAAGCGTCAGCTAAATGCAATGTAATGTAACTCCATCATGTCTGAGGTCGGAAGGTAAACAGACGCATCATATGCAGCGGAAGTTTTTCTTCTTCTTCTCTCGGTTTTTTGGCGGATTGCAACTTTAAAGTTCATACCGCCACCTACTGTACTCGCCGTGAAGTTGTTTGCGGCCTGCCAGTAAACTCAAAGCAGAAGAAGAAGAAGTGACGTCAGGGGCTTCATTTGCCTAATCCACCCCCAGGAACTCATTGCGGTGTGAACGCGATCTGCTTTAGTTCATCAGAACTAAAAGAGTTTTCATGAACTATTGTGGGAAAATAACTTGTTGTGAACGCCCCTAATATAATAACAAACTGTGCCAGGTGTGTCGTATGCACAGTAAATAGGCTCAGCAGTTAACACACCTATATTATATATCCTCACTGTAAAGATAAAGTGTCAGAGGAGAAATAAGCAAGATACAGGATCTGTTTAATCGCCATGTAGGTTCTCTTTTACCACTTGCTGGTCTTCCGACCGTTACCACTCTTGTTGTTGTGGTCTTTTATTTTTTTGTAGTCCTGCTTCAGTTTCTTTATTTTGTCCCGGCATGACTTAGCGCTGTGGACGATTCCCATGGCCGCTAACTTTACTGAAATACAGTCGTACATTTTTCGCGTTGGAAACTGCCTTCAGTAGAAGTCTCTGGATCGCGTCGTCCGAGTAAATCTCCAGAAGCACCGACACATCATCATCACTCCACCGCTCCGCTGATTTATTTCGTGTTGCCATAACTGCTTTCACAAAAGTAATCTCTTCGTTGGTGCGTTGCGCAGAGCTTTTAATGCGAGCAAATACAATGGCGGTTTCTAAAACTTTTTCAGAGATTTACGGGGCGTGGTTTGCAATCCGCCCAGCCAATCAGAAATGCGAACCTTTTTCTCGCACGAAAGTCCCTGCTCTCTAGCAGGGACTGAAAAGGGGGTAAAAATGGTTCTGATGAACTAATTTAGTTCAGGGGGCTTTTTGGTGTGAACGCAAATATATCTGAGTTCTGATGAACTATTGTGGGAAAAGTACTCCGGTGTGAACGCGCCAATAGACAGGTATTTTCTGTGTTAGAGTTTTACTCGCTACAGGGTGTACTTTGAGGGTTTGTGACTCTGCAGTCTGTTTACATGCAGAAAAAGCTACATAACACACAAGGGGACGGGTAATAACCGGAAAAGCATGACATGGGACCTTTAACATTATACTCAAAAGGCCAGTAAATATCACCCCGGGGCCGGATTTGACAACAGAAAAGGCAAAAAGACCATAGAAGAAAGTTATGTACAGTAGTACATGAGGTTAGACGTTTTTTATGCTAAACTAAGCTTGGATATCTTTGACCTGCACTGTATGAAATAATCAATAAAAGTGAAGGTGTATCAGGGGTAATGTTGTGGTCATTCAGATGACAGGCAAGTGTGGATATCCTTCAGCAGATATCCCCGCAATCTTCAGTCATCAGGTCCATTTGTGTGGCTCAACGCCAGCCTATCGAGCGAGATTTAATGTAATTCAAGGAGAATCTGCATCGATTGATGCTTGAGAGTGCAGGGGGGAAACTCTTTCCCTCAACACTGCCTCAAAGGAGAGGCCAGGGTCACACCACTGCAGGAAGTATTGAGTCATAGCTCCAGTCACAAGTGGATTGAAAAGTGATAAGGCGATGCAAAGCGAGAGAAAGGCTTTCAGAAGGCACTGATAGGATGTAGATCTCAGGGGATTAAGATTACTGAGTAAGCATGATGCATAAAAATAAGCAGAACGTTATTCTTCAAGCATGAGAGTCTCGATAAGGTAACATTAAGGGACAAAATACAAAGCCGTTGATGTGTCTCTATTAAAAAGTAAAGGACCAAAGACATTGAAGTGTCAGTTTAGGTAAAGTAATGAAAAAAGATTGTTATTTGAAGAGTAAGAGATAAAAGTTGAAGTGTCAGTTTAACTTTGGATATAGTATTGAATATTAAATGTATACATTGTGCATGAAATACTACAAACACCAGAAAACAGCAAGACAGTTCAAGTCGAGGATCGTTGAGATTCCCTAATCAACAAATCAAGCCCCCCTAATTCATTCATGTCTGAATTGACAAAATGTCACCATTTGACTGGCTCTGAGGAAAATCACTGATTCTCCTGTGGTAGGACTTAAATTGAACTGGCAACTAATTAATTCAAGAGCAAACAAAGCACTGGACCTATTAACTTATTAATCACATATCGAATTAGACTGAAAATTAATTTAAACACAAGTTAAGAGCATGGCAAGACTGACAGAAGGTTTGCACAGGTAATCTAGATGCTGGAGGGTCGAACAGCATTAAATCCACCACTAATGTCATTATTCAATTATTGTATGCTTCTAGACTGCAACATATTACCACTAGTAATTGATTGCCTAATAGGCTTATGAGTGACTGTGTTGGTGTGTGTTTACCATGCGAGCAGTGAAGTGGGCTGGAATAGGTGACTCGTTTGAAAGGTGCAGAACTCGAGTTATGTCAGTCAGAACAGGGATTCGGCCAAAGTCCAGCTTCGGGGTCTCAACATGAACTTTTGGTCCCTGACCAACACAGAACAAGACCACCTCCTGGAACAGAACGGAACAGAGGTGGGTTAGAGAACAGAACTTATTATATACTTTTGCGGTCTCTCACAGACCTTTGTTTTCCTGTGACAGCTAGCGCAGTAATTACATTTTTTATAAGAACACAAATGAAAAAAACTATTAGTTAGCTCACTAGGTAGGTAGGAGGAGACTGGGCATTATCTCTGAGCCGTACATTAAGTTAAATTGATGTAGCAACTCGAATGTAGACATTGCAAACACTTGCTGATAAAAATGTAATTCTAATTCAGGAAGATATATTGCTGTTTTTACCCCAAGGGCTTCGCGTACGCATATATCGTACGCATATTCAACCACTAGGGATGCCAACCGTCTCGTATTAGCCGGGACGCCCCGTATTTGAGCCAAAAGGGGCGTGTCCCGTACGGGACTTTGTTTGTCCCGGACTCCCGTGTAAAGGGAAAAAAAATAAAAATGTTTCTGTTTGCGCGCAATGCAGTGTGTCTGGCTGCGTGCCTGTGTGTTTGTGTGCTGTATGCAAAGGGCGCTAGGACCGCTCAGTTGACAGGGCAGGCACAATGCTCGCACGTGTGTGTGTGTGTGTGTGTGTGTGTGAGATTTTCTCCGGTGGGCCGCGGGCGCGGCATCATTGTTTGTGTGGCGTGTGTGTGTGTGAGAGAGTCAGTCAGCTGATTGCTGGGAAAATGGTTGGTTGAAGGATAACATTAAGTCTAATAATGATGTACCGTGCATGTTCACATCATGTATACTTTGCATTACTTAATACCATTTTTCAAATATTTATTTTTTAACATTTGACAAAATAGCCAATTGTACATCGAGGTGCCCAGATGTCCCTAGTGCCCACCTATCCGATTTGAACATGCTGATGTACAATGTGATGTAGTAGCCTAATGCAGATGTAAGACCATTGTGTTTGTATTGTGTTATAGGTATGCATAGTTTTCTATGCATTTTGAGGGTTTTGGGGGGTTTGACCCCCAAAAACATTTTCGAACCCTAGGGGCTGGCTCCCCCAAAATAATTAAATAACATAACCCTAACCTAACCCTAAAACCGAAATAAAGTAACAAAAAAAAGTAACTAAATCCGCCAGAAACCCGAAAATATTCGCACGCACGCGCGCGGGGGACACATGCATGTGTCCCGTTTCTCCATTTCTGGAAGTTGGCAACCCTATCAACCACTGACAGTATAGATGTTAACACTTAGAAGCACACACACACACAAATGCACACACACACAGCATTCCACTGACCAGGGACGGCTGGCTGCTGCCAAACACAGCAATGCGTAGAGTGTGCTGCTGCCTTCCAACCGCCTTAGCCAGCAGAACCACAGGAAGCTCTTCTGAAGTACGAGGAAGAATCAGTCCTCTCGGTGTATCACTGCCAAAAAGCAATGACGGACTTTCCTCATATTCCTGATAAAGGTGACACATGGAAATATGTTTTTAATTCAGGCATACAAACCCAACATTGCAGGTTCAGATAATAAAAAAACAAAATATATATAATATGAATTATGGCATTTTATTATGGATTAGATACCTGGCATTATAAAAAGTCATTAAAGTGATCTCTACTTTTAACCAGCTGCAGAATTAAAATGAAGTTCTTATAATGGATCATTAGTTAGAACCTATTAATAGTATATTTATTATTCCAAAAATGGCCATTATGTATAATGAGTACTTTTTATTTTGGTACTAGGACCTTTGATGGGACTACTTTTTTTTTACTTTTACTTAAGTAACATTTTGAATGCAGGACTTGTAACTTGTCATTTCTACACTAACTGGAGTAAAACGTCATTTTAGTAAAATGGTAATTTCAATGTTTTCCCATTTTACCAAAACGTTTCAATACGGTTTCATAGTGCTAATAAGTCAGGATCTGAATTGTCTAACCATAAATATAATTGTAATTATATTTCATCTAAAAAATGGTATTGTAAAGTTCAGTGGTAATGGCATTAAAAGGAAATAATTCAAAATGTTGGGATTGACAATTATGTGCTTTCTTGTGGAGAGACGGATGAATGAAGGATTTATTTTGTAATCATATAGCTCACATCTACCACATATACATGTTGCTGTATTCATCTGGAAATTAGCCATTGTTATAAAGAACCTTGACAGGCTTGGTGCTTGATATTTTTCCACTAGGACCCTAATAAACATACAAATAATGTTCATCTGCAACAAATGACTTAACCTGGTCGAGCATGCCGTAGCAGGCCAGCAGAGGGCTGCTGTTAGTCAGCCGCACCCGCTGCTCATACGGGTGATCGAGGAAACACCTTTCAAAGTCCAACACTGGAGTCTCCACCACAATATCAGGAACACAACACCTATTAGCAAAGAGAAATAGATAAAGAAAGGTGAATTGAGGGAACGATTTCAGGTTTATTTATGAATCACAACGTGACACAACTGCTGCTATTAATTAGAAATGATTCATAAATGTACAATGACGGTGATTGCCGAGAGGAAGTCAGATTACCATCGCTCCACTCCTGAATGATGGTGCAGGTGACATTCAAATGTATTATTATGCAAATTAAGCTCTGAATATTGAACACATACTCCACTGATTTGCCGACACCTGTATGGAAGCTCAATGGACCTCATTCACAGCTTGTCAAAGTGTTAGGGACAACCAGAACACATCAGAATAAAGGCACTTTATTTGAAGAAAGAGGGAAGTCGGAGTGTTTTTAAACAAGCAACATGAACCTCTTCTGTGTGATGGCAATTTGCAACACAGTTGGAACACGTTAACACTCATTGTGTCCATATTACTAGGTCATCCTTTATATTCATTCATCTTCTACAAATAAAACTATCGAACAGTGTTATGGCAGAAGACAAAAACATATGAATAAAATAAATGAAAGGAATAATATGAAACAAGAGTTAGATAAAATAAAATAGAATAAGATAAAATAATATGAAATAGAACAAAATAAAATAAATGATGGTTTATAAATGAAAGTAAACCATGCACTGATACCATGTGCATGCACGTTGTTAGACTATGTGTTGAATAGAAACAAATGCACAAATAGATAATAACTAATTATCCTTACTCTATTCCTAATTCTACAGTTTTTTCTTTGTTGTGGATTGTATTTTTTAATTTTTTGGCTGTCTCTGAAAATATATGATACAATCTGATAAATTAACTTTGTGCAAGTTTGGAGTACACATGTCAAAAAGTGTGTTGACATGTGTAAATGTGTCTGACCTGGCGTAGATAGGCAGAGTCCCGATCTCCTCCCCGACACCCTCCACATCCACTACCAGCGCCAGCCTGTATGTCTTCACTGTGTTGGAGCACAGCGTCACCTGTATACATATAACACACACAATCAGTACTTTTAAAGTCTGGCAAGCTGCACCATCCGGTTACTCATTGTGCACTGCATTTGGTCCTACTTCACATTGAAAGGCCGTTCAGCCCTCAAAACAGCAAATGTAAGTGAACCAGCGACACAGCAGGGGGGAAACCAGCTAACGTGACTCTATGCAAATATAACTAAATACACCCACCTTAAAAACTCACAACATTTATTTTGTTCCAGGAGAAAAACAAATGTAAAAAAAAAATGTATTGAGGGTTGATGCAAAACACTTTTTCTTTTGAGGGGTTTCCTGGAGTCTCCAAAATGTAACAATTTCAAATGGGTTCCCACTCTATTCAATGACTTACTATACCTTAATAGTGACATCAGACAGGCTACGCATAGAGCCTGCAGCAGGCATGACGGTGAACTCTACAGGCTGTGCACGAAGGCCTCTATCAGCACCGCATTCCCAATTGATCCTTGACACCTCATACGCCTGTTTGAGACTAGTAACACTCGGAGACCCTGTCCCGTCCCCCAGGACACGCAGGGCAAAGTTCAAAGGCACAAAGGAGGTGTTGTAGAGGGTAAAAGCCAATGTTTGAGGGAAACCTGAACAAAGATATGGATGACAAGGATAGAACAAAGGGGGACATCAAAAAACCAAACAAGGATGAAGTAGAGAATGTGATCGTCTGGAGTATAATATATATTTTGTAGCAACTGAAATTGAATAAGCCCAGGACGATGTCACTCACCAAATGCTACGTCTCCAAAATTGATCTCAGAAACGTTGAAGTCGAGTGCCGGAGCAACGACACAACCCCTGAAAAAAGAAGATAAAAACATGAGCCATTATGCAAAGGAGGTTACAAATGTTTATATCATGGAAACAAATGAATAAACAGCAAGATTACAAATGAAAACAGTGGAAAACTGTTTGCTAAAAGATGGTCAACATTAATACCAGCAATACCAGAACTCCACTACCAACATTTCATACAAATGTTCTCTTTTTTCTTATTTATTGAATTCTTTATGCCTGTATTTGCTTTGTTTTATTCAGATTATAACATATATTATTACACTGGTTATTGTTTGGCTAATATTAAAGGAATATTATTTAGTAAATTCATGAATTTTAAGAGAGATGCAGTAATTTAAATGTGCCCCTTTAATTATTTGATTTCAACTCAATATTACCAATGAAGATGTATGTTTGAATAATGTCCTTAAAAGACATGAAACAATGTTTCTAAGGTACAACGTGTGTCATTGTGAAAGCATCTCTCCATGTCATTTGAACCGTCTCTAAAAACTCAAATCATGAACCATGAGAAAACTTCATAATTTCATTATCAACACTGCCACTACTTTTAAGGTTTTAATTTGTCTTGGATGAATCTGAATTGTTCGCTGGCTTCACCTGAAGGTCACGGTAAGTGGTTGAGGCTGTCCTGTGACAGTTAGCAGCAAGTCCTCAGAGAAAGTTCCCAAGATGCAGCTCTGAAAGGTGACTTGCACAATCTGCCAGGCCCCAGAGGAAACAACACCTTCCTCAGGACTGAAGGAGAAACAGCGGCCGAATGTGGTGTCGGGGTTTGACATCCTGAAAGGGGCATCAATCAGCCCTTTGTTGTACATCTCCACCTGGAAAGAAGGATCCACTCATTACAATACTTTTGTTGTACTAGGCCCACCCTAAATAATCAAGGAAAGAGCTTGCAGTAAATGTATGTTCTTTTTTGTAATATCTTTTCAAGTTCAGTTTTGATTTAAATAAATGATGTGCTGATGGAAACTATTTTACTTACACTTATGTATACTAGAAAAACATTTGTCAAGTATATCTGTTGGTTTTATGTTGGACATTTTAACAGTTAAATTACTTTAGACTTTTAACAGTTTTGTCTTATTTATAAGAAGAGGCACAGAACGAGTATGATGTCAACACAAAATGTGAATTTAAGAACATTGGTGATATTTACAAAAATACATTATGTAATGTCATGCAAATGGCTAACAATACAAACTTCAGTTTTGTTGTCAAGGCACTTGACGGAGCAAACGATTTATATATGCTATATTGTTCCTAATGGGACAAAGTAACATGGACACCTTATAATGTAAAAATATTCTATTATACCAATAACCTCATAACAGTCTTGCTCCATATCCATTTTGTTACTATTGCATTGTATTGTAATATATTTAACTGGCATTCACTCACTATATAATCCATATAGCTTGGCCTGTCTCTGATTAAAAATCCAAATGATTTGATAATTGTAAGTTATCTTGAGTTTGACTAAACAAAAAGACTTACTTAAAAAAGGTAGGCAGGATATACCACACACACAAGTTGTTACACAGTAATACTTGTTTTAAAGGCTAGACTGTTCACTTCGGCTTAACCTTTCTTACTTCATAACAGTCTTTGCCACCAATGTCTACGTTTTTCATATCCATCCGGTTATAAGTGAGTTGGAGGTTAGGTCCCAAGCCCTGTGCCTTTATTGTGAGAGGCAGCCGAGCTTCACGACCTATAAGAGCAGTGACAGACAGGAACAAATTGACAACACAGGTAAAGACAGATAAAACGAGGGTCAGGAGAACAGAAAAGACTAAAGCAGAGATTCATGAACAACGCTGGGAAAAATTGACTGCATACGAGAAAAAGGAAAGGCTGTATGGGTCGTCAGCCTGTTTGTCAGTTTTCATGTATTTGAATGTGATACGTATTTGTCGGTTGAAATATAAAGGGTTAAAAAAAGGGTTGTTCCAAACACAAAATGTCTAAATCCTTGATAAACATTCACTTTACATCAGTTTCTTTCTATTCTACTTTTCTCTTTCACTCTCTGTGAATTTACTTAAGGGCAAAACAGTTATATCCTGCAGTTCTGCTGAATAAGCTTCTAAAGCTTCTTGCAAAATGAGGAATCGGGGAATGGTAGTCTCCAGACCGGCTGTCATTGACCTTAGCTGGTCAGGTCGTTGCCTGCCTCAGAAAACATGGAAATTCATGTAAATCTGGCCTCCGGCTGCAGAGACACTCGTGATGGCCACATGCAAATTTCCCAACAACCTTTTACTACAGCTGGGATGAGATTAATATATTGGAGCCTCATGACTGCATTGTCGAATATGAAAATGAGTTCATGTAGCAATAAGTGATCGGAGAGTGAAACCAATCAGGCAGATTTAAAGGTTCATTTGTGATGATAAGAGTAGATGTCATACACTACAGCAAAAGAGAACATACAAAGAGAGAGTTTTGGCTGTTTGGGAGGGGCAGTTCTTCCCTGACAATAACTACACAGACAGACACGGCTTGCTACCCAGACTTGTGTGTCTAACCTGTGTCTGCACCAACCCACTGAGGGGAGGAAAATATTTTATGAGAAAGCCAACGCTATTGATTTATAGCAGGAGTGTAAAGTCTGCTTAAAGTTGTCAAAACAACTTCCAAGTTGTGGAAGAACAAACAAAATAGTTATACTCGGAGAAGGTTCGGCTCAAGAACAAAGCCAAGTTTTTGTTAAGTGTCTCTTAAGAAGTGTTTTAAATGTAAGCCTTACATATTCTTAGCTTTAACCTGCAGCTAGTCATTTTATCCCAAATTCCTCCCTTACCAAAATTCAACAATACATGTATTATCTTTTAAAATTGTATCTGTATCTAGATTCATTTGAGATGGGGTGTGTTTTATATCTTGCCGTAAAATGGTTCTGAATGCCCGTTCGTGACAACACCTTATATTTGTTGTGTAATTAGTTTGAGACTGAACAAAGCCCCAATTATTTGATAGTTTTTGGCACTTGACCTAGTGTATGGTCTCCATAATGTTGTCTAAATTGTTAGTTGCATTTTGAAGGTCTCTTGGGCTACTTGACATTCCAACTGCTCAGTTGGACCGTGGTGCAAAGGACATTCTGAATAGATGTTATACATGGGCTTGCATTGTAAATGAAACTACCAATGCAAACAGAAATGATATTAGAATGTCTGTACATAGTAGGCAAAGGATTACATGTAATGTTCTGATTTCATATTGCACTTTATGCTGCTGGTTTAGCTAACCAGTAACTTTACATGTTCTGATCAGTGCCCTTGCTTTAGAGGTAAATGCTGTCCATAGAACATATTTTTAGTAGTTAGCATAGTTACAAAAGTGAACAGATTTTAAATGAGGTTTACAGCTTCATAGTCATGCTAGAAGCTCTCTGAGGCTGTATTTAGGGAGAATGGGGCTTTAAGCTAAATATCAGCATTACATGCTGATATTTAGCAGGTACATTTTTAACAATGTTCACCAAGTTTAGCATGTCTGTATTTTAACATTTGCTAATAAGCATCAAACTAAAGGTAGCCCACATCTTAGGATAAGATAGGAATGTAATTAGCCTAGCAGGTATCTTGTATTAAGAAACAACATACTGGACACATTTAAAGTTTTACCTTATAACAAGGATTATGGATCAGTCGGGAATCAAGAAATGACATCTCGTCCTAAGGCAAACACAAGTCTGTACTACCATACGCCATGACAATCAATCCCAAAAATATTGAGACATGTTTCTCAAGACCAAAATGTTCATGCATCTTAGTTAAGATGTGTACATGCAATATTATGCTATGCTACCCAAATGGTTGTTGTGTTTTCTAGCTAGGCACTGACCTGTGACATGACAATATATGGTTTGTTGGTACAGCTTGGCCTCTTCGGGTTTGAAGATAATGTTGAACTGCGCTGGCGTTTTAGGCCAGATTTCACCCTCCTGAGCCATGAGAAGACAAGAAGAAAAACAAGTCTCAGTCATTTTCTGAGAGGACATCAATCAGACATGCATATAACTGTAAGGGTATAATCTCTCAATCGGAACGGTTGGTTTGAGAAGAATCCACACTTTTTTTGAAGCATCTTTATAGTAGGAATGGAAAAGAGGAGACATTATTTGGGTGGAAGTTTAGGTGCATTTTAAAAAACAATGTGGTGGTATTTTTATCCTGGTCAAATCTACACGCAACACACACCAACACCAACTATCTCTGTCACCTACTAATACCTGTGTGTGTGTGTGTGTGTGTGTGTGTGTGTGTGTGTGTGTGTGTGTGTGTGTGTGGTGTGTGTGTGTGTGTGTGTGTGTGTGTGTGTGTGTGTGTGTGTGTGTGTGTGTGTGTGTGTGTGTGTGTGTGTGTGTGTGTGTTTACTCTCTCTGCCCCCCTTGTCTCTCTCTTGCCCTCTCCTTCTGTTTTTTCACCGTCTCCGCTCTCCCTCTGCCCAGGGAGCATGGCTGAGTTGAGCGAAGGAGACACTGGCAGAAAAGGGGGATGGCGGTGTCAGAACAGGTCATGCTACCTGAAGGTCCCCCGGCAGAACGAGCTGTGACCCTCCCGTTACAGAGCAGTCAGATTAACATTTGACCAATTTGGCATAGCATGTAGCGAAAAGTGTCTTTTAACCTAAAGACCCTGTTTTAAACATCCAACACGCTTAAGGCCGTAAAGTGCTGCAGGAAATTAGTTACCATTTAACCACTTACGGTTCCTTTGTCTCAAAGTCAATGTGTCTTTTAACATGTTTTTGGTTAGATGCCTAAAATAAGATCTGTGGTTGACATAAGCTGAAGAGCAAACCCTGGCAATAACACCAGCAATCATACCTAGTGTGAGTGCATTTGGAATATTTCAGTACTGCAGTTATCTTTCCCTATTTCCTAATGATTTGTGCTTCACATCTTTTTCTGAAAATCATTATGTTTTTCATCAAGGTCAAGGAAAAGTGGTTTGGAAAAGACAAAGGAACAGTTTTTTTGACTATTTGATAGGAGCCCCTTATTTGCACTTACCGGCAAACCAATGATTTAACTTCATCACTCTCTCACTTAGTAGCTAGGTTTTCATCCAAACGTAGAAATTCTCCACTGGAAAATCATTGAATGATTGCATTAAAAACCTTTTTTGCAATATTTCAAGATATCTTTTGAATTGTTCTGCCTTTCCAACTTATGATTTCTAAGCAGGTGGTTTTAATTTAAAAAATGTTAAATATATAATTATAATACGCCTCTCGTTCTAAGCCTCAACATGTTACTGTATAAACACGGCAGATGCTAACAAGTGACGCGACATTAGCATAGGCGGCGCGTGAGGCTCAGGTTTGGGAAGGCTAAATAACTTTTTTTTTACCTGATGCTGCCTGCCTCCGGCGTCTATAGAAAATAGATCAACTCATTGAAAGCACCGCCTGCTGACCGATCAGAGCTCAGTGTGCGGAGTTTAAATCTATCAAGTCATATTACAGGATAAAGGAAATACAGTTTAAACTGCCGTATGCAGAGAAGACTCCGACGTGTCGCACTTATCATTCATATCACATTCAATCAGATCATCGATCATATAATATCACAATATTTCCTTATTTGAGTCAGCTTCTCGAGCCGTATCTGGCCGTGCAACACTTACAGTGTCATTACGTTGACGAAACATTCGAGTCAAATGTAATTAAAGTCAGATCCACTAGTGTCGATGGGGCAGTGATATCATAAAACTGTTGTACGCTTTCAAACACTCTGTAGTTATTTTTTAAACAGTTGTTCTGTATTCTCCTTGCAGGTGCAACTATGTGGCTTGTATCCTGGAATATATGTTTAAGTCATGGATGGTTAAAGTTCATATTTGTCTAATATTAGTTTACTTTTCATTAATGAAGTATGACGCTGCGCTGTCAATACACTTGTCCCTGTTTGTGATTGGTCAAATGTTGCTAACCCCGCCCCTTTCACGTGAACGCGCTCTCAGCTGGAGACAGAAACCCTGGCTTGATTTACCGAGTTGATAACCAGCATTGTAGGACCGCTTACCGAGATCTCGTTTGTTAGGGTTAGTTAAGATAACTCAAACATATCCAGGGTCTGTTGAACTGGCTTCGTACAGGGCACAGGTGGCTGCATAGCAGCGCAAATGTCAAAGACACAAACATTATACATTATATTTAAATTTTACCAGGATGCAGTGACACAAATATTTGGGAAGGCTTAGCCTTCCCTAGCCTACAGTACCCGCCGCCCCTGGACATTAGCCACATTTAGCTTAGCAGTGGTGACGCGAAGCCATGCAACCGTTTATAGCATAACGTTAGCTCTTTACTTCTGCCAATTGCATTAATGATTCAAAATTCATAAAGTGGAGGAGACTATACTGCTGAACAAGAATGTACGTATCATAAACGTGTGTTTACCACATATCTTGTTTTCCACAATATTCCAAAATTCAATGGCAAAATCCTATTGGCTTTTAGTTGAGAGAGTCCTTGAGTTGCTCACTCCCGGGTCGGGCTACAAAAATACATCATCACTGCACCACTCTATTGAACTAGCTACTAAATCCCTGCCAGCTTAGAAAAGGCTCTATTTAACTCTCTTGGAATTAATTAAAGTATCAAATTATTCAGACACATCATGAGCGGTTATTATCTCTGCAGTAGTCTTAATAAGGAGAGAAACTAGGCTGCAAATCCATGGGGTGTGGATTATTAGCTGACAAGAGATACTGGGCAAGTGGTATTTGTAAAGACAGGAAAGCACAGACACACATAAACACACCGCTGGTTCCAGAGTTAAGCAGCTGTGTGAGAGGACCAGGCGTTGGTCCTCCACTAACTGGCTTCTGCGTTCTTGCAGGGCTTTCGACAGCTGTGGGAGGCGATAGATCGCTGTGGGGTCGGACTCACACTGAACAAGCCACCGTTTTCTCTCCTCCTTCTCTTCCTCCTTCTGTTGGAGTGATGAGCTCTCCCTAGAGAAATGGAGGAAGCAAGGGAAGGTGAAAGTCAAAAACAAAGAGAAATGAGGATGGAAGAACAAGGAGTCTCAGGCAGGAAGAAAGTGATGGGAATTTAAGTTATTTTTGGCATCACATGCTGTGTTCATTTTACTTTCTACATGTACACAGGGAAACGGGGAGCTTGTACAGGCCACAAAAAACATCTTGTCAAAGACAAATTCCAGTATTGTCTGTGTGAAGTCATTTATGTTCATACACACATACCTCAAGAAGCTCAAGGCCTCCTCTTGCAGGCTGGGCCATGTCGTCCAACAGTACTTTAGAGGGATCTCACTCCTGTAGGTGAGAGATACTTTGCACACGTTGGCCAGGGAAATGTAAGTCTGATTTACCAGAACAGATTCACGCTCAAGATGGATGTCCAGTTCCTCACAAGCCCCGTACAAACGGATGTACACATCTTCACCTGCGCAGAAAAACAGCAGATGTAGAAGAATAGAGATAATATCAGTGTTTTTGTGATTATTAACTATTAAGTGCTCCTTTATGTGGGTCCCATAAGACTTGGGATGGTCACACCAAATCATAATTTTAGAAGATGAGTAGATGCTTAATCAAGTCCAAGTAAAACTCCAGAATAAGTAAGGTGAGTGAGGAGACGCTCCAGTCTTTAAAACCTCCGCCTAATTATCTCAAAAGAAGTTTTCTGGGTTGAGGTTTGCGGGCTGAGTGTCAAATGTGGCTGACAGCAACAACTTCCGCGTATGTATTGAAGAAGTGGATCAAGTGATTGATAGTTGAGGCAGTGCCGAATAGTCATTTTTGTTTAGGAAGTTTCCCCAACTGAGTGAAATGACCCAGAATTACTGGAGTGCTGGCTATGATAAGAGCTTTTTGAAAGTGCTATAAAAGGTGCATCAATGCTTCCCTGTTACTACCTGGTATTGGATACACTGGACCCTCCTTGATGAAAGGAAAGGATATAATGCCATCCCCTAAGTCCTTGCGGCTGCCTCATTTAAAGTGTGGCACCAATTGGCCATTCATCATGACTGACAAATGCAGATAATTAAGGTTATAGTGCTTATAAAGCTGTTTCCAACTTAAGCCATATCTTGCTAAAAAGCTTATATGTTTTAACCTTTCAACACTATTGTAAACCAAAAGGCAAACTATGACGATTACACGAATGAATGTTGTAAAATGATCAAATGACATCAACAAGTTTTGTGTTTATAAGGTTATATTTTCATTCTTCAATGGTGATCAGAACAGTAGACCTAACGAGTTATGTAGTATTATTTTCCAAATATCATATTATATTATTACTATGTCTTGATCTTGACTGACGTTTTTCATTACGGTCAAGGAAAAGTGGAAGAAAATGTACCGTTTTCTTTGTACTATTTGACCGTAGACTCGTATACATCAGCCAATGAGAAAATGCTATCTTGACCGACCAATGGTGCAATTGTATCACCCATTCACTTAGCCAAATGGACCGTGAATCCTAAACAGGATTTTGAAGAAATTATGCCACACAATTGTACCTATTGTACTTCCTGCAATTTGAATATTGCACTAGTCCATATTTCAATATCATTTTTGATTAATTGTGCAGCCTTAATCAATATACAACTGTACAGGAAAGTTGGGTTTATCTAATGCATTAAGTAAAGCAATGTCCTGAAGTGTAGTTGCATGGGGGAGCGACAGTTAGACACTGTTATTCTGCACATATAGCACAAAATAAATCTACCCACCGAGCAGCCACTGCTGCTCCTATGGGAGTCTCGGGCCTAATGTGGGCAGTGGATCGAGGAGAAACTCACAGTGGAGTCAAGGACACACTGCAAAGTCTAGCTTTGAAATGCTGGATCTGGATCAAAAGGAGATTAAAATGGCTCTCAAAATATCCTGGAAAACTGGCATCCAAAACAAATAATGAAGCCAAAGCCTTTTGGAGTTTCTGCTATGTGAAAAAGACGGCTGAAATAAATAAGAAATGCATAAATAATAATGTAGTAGACGCACAGTAAATATGAAAAAACATACATTTCAAAGTATGCATCTCTGGAGGTAAGAGAGACAGACTCTTTAATGGTTAACAGGAAATCTAGTGAGTCTCTGTAGAAGATGCCACCATTACAGTGTGTGCCATCAGTGAGCGAAAGAGCAACAATAAGCAGCAACACAACGACGATGCAAATCAAGGTTTTGTATAAAGCCACCAAGAACAAGGGCTTATGTAATTGAAGTGAGTGTTTGTTTATATTCAAATAATAAGGACTGGAGTTTTAGTCTGTAGAAACACACTCCCTATCCTGATATTATTTACATTTGTATACCTGCTGAGGTTAATTATTTTAAGTAAGGACACATCCCTCTGAAAGTCTCTCTTAGCACACACAGTGAACTCTTTCACAGTTTGGATATAATATAAGGGAATGTCTAAACACAACAGGGTTCTCCTCCATGATGATGTAGTTAATCATTTCTTTGATATTTTATTTCCCTAGTGTAAATGAAAACAATGATACCTTGGTCAATCAAATTACCCCAAATGAGACATGGAGGATTTTTCTCATTTGCAAACAGTGCAACTCAAAGAGTGGGCATTTCATTTAATTGTGACTGTTGTGCTTTTCAAAGCTCGTCTCACGCCAAAACAAACGTGGAGACTTGCCATTAATTACTTTGCACAATTGAATGGAGTGAGCGAATTAAATGAATTACAAGTGCTCTGGTATGCAGGTTTGTTCAATTGACGAGGGGATTGATGGGCGCTCTGCAGGATGGTGAGTGAAACCGACTCTTGGCTGAGGATTAGAAACTTGACTCTGGTTTGACAGTGCAAAAATGTCGGGGTCTCAACTTCCACTGATTTGAAAAAACAACTTGCCAAGGCAAGATGAGGCTCAGCATACAGGCCACTTTATTAGGTACACCTTGCTCAGTGGCCAGTGAGTGTATATCATCTAGATGCAAACCGCGCCAAGGAAATCAAAAGTAGTTTCTTCTTCAAATGTTTACATTTCAAATGTGCCATATACAGGCACAGTATGCATATGCTTCTAAAATGTTGCATGTAATCAATGAGTGATTTATTTGTTAAAGTTGATGTTAATGTTGATAATAGCTATACTGTAAATCAATTTGAATAATTAGGTGCCATGTGGAACAACACTTTTTTAGGTAACACTTTATTTTGATAGTCCATAGTTAACACTCTACAAGTCATCAGTTGACATTCAACAACACTGTTTCTACAGACAAGTAACATGCATTTAACTAACTGCCAGTAGAATATAAGGTACATCTCAAGTGTTGATCTATAGATTTTACAAAAAGTGTCTGTTGACTGTCAACATGTTTTTTGCAACAGGTTATTAACCGATATTCAACCTTACTATGTAGATTGTGAGTTCTTGTGAAAAACCTTTTTTTCTCAAGTGAATGCATTAGGCTTCTGTATTTATCTTATATATTAGTCAAATAAAACAGGAACAGGTGTTTCTAACTCAAACATTACATACATAATGAATACATAAAGTTTGTGATCAGTTGTGCAAAACATTTCGCTTTATTCCCATGTCTGTTGCATATCATTAGTGGATGAATGTATGTGTTCTGTTGATAGGTTATAGACTTTCTACTGTTCTCAACTGTTTTTCACTTTAATTGGATAGTCCTAACACATGCCTACAAACGCTTAGTGGAGAATGCCTACTAAAAGTATACTGATAGTCAACTCTAGTTTAGTTGACGATCAACAGATAGTCAACTAAACTCTAAAGTTGCTTATCTGTTGATCACCAACTAATGCTTAATGTAATCTTTAGTTGACATCTTGACTCTCAACAGATTATCAACAGATAGTCAACATGGCCCTGTTGACTTTCAACTGACAGATTGATTTTGAGTAGTTGATTGTCAATTTTGAAGATGTTGACACAATATACAGATAGTAAGGTTGAATATTGGTTAATACGCTGTTGACATGCTACTAAATGTCAACTGATGACTTATAGAGTGTTAAATATGGACTATCAAAATAAAGTGTTACCCTTTTTTATTATTGGTACTTGAGCACACACATAATAAAGGGATACATGATTAACTTTATGCATGCACATGGAAAAAATGCACACAAAAAGGAACTTTCGGGAAGATAGGGAAGTGTTGTGCTTTAAGTTCTTTCATAATATTAGCTTTTATTTTCTAAATTTGGAGTTACCAAGAGCTGCCGCTATTCCCTTCTATTCCTATACAGCAATCCGAATAATTCGCAAACAATACGTGCCCGCTTGAATTTAAATGTATAGTTTTTTTCTTTTACATCACTTTTTATAGAATGTTACTTTGAGTACCTGTGCAGATCTTGGCTGCCTAAATAGTCTGACATTGTGAAACAACCAACAGTACGTCAGCTTGAATGACAATGCTTAGCTAACTTAAATTAGCTCAGCTAGGGTCTGCGTTGGTCCAACAAAAATACATTCTTAATCAAGCGTTTTGGCCGTCCATAGTGACAATAGCCTGTGAAAAAAACAACTTAACATCTGGATGTCCTCGTAAAAGACTTCAATTAAACTTTGAGCAATTTTAAGAACATACTCATCTCTGTTTACCATCTACGCCAACCATTGATGGGAGTCACTACGAGGCATATTCCTATATATAACCAAATAACATGGTGTGCAGACCAGAGGGCCTATTTTATGACCAGCACAAATTGGTGCCAGTGTCATTGATCATTTCAGAATGGAGTTGTTGTCATTTTATCATTCATCATGTTGTGCAAGAAGCTTATGTTACTGTGTGGTCTAGTCAGGTAGCAGAAAGTGATTGCTCCATTGACCTACAAAATACTGGTCTAAAGTCATTGCTTGGTCATTTTCTACCTTGTAAAGGATGCATTTATCCAATAGGAAATAGTAAATAGGGCCCTCAGTATCAACGACTCTCTGTTGGAAGAACGCACGAGGCAGTCTTCCGATTAGTCCTTGGTAGCTCTTCTAGTGAGGGACCTACTAATTGTGAATGTGTGAGTGTTTAAGTGACGTACAAGTCTTTCACATAATTATATGAAGACAAAAACCCAGGACTGTTTAAATGCTATTTGATTAGCGTCAGAAAAACTACTCTCTCGAACACAACATACTCACAAATAAACACACTCAATTAGCCCAAGATTTCCCTTCACAATGATTGGTTCGTATGGTGACAACAAATGACACTTACATCTTACTTAACACAGCAAAGATGACGCCAGAAACAACAGGAGAAATCCAACCAGCCCAAGTGTCTCTAGACCTTGTTTGTGCAAGGCTAAAAAAAAACTTCATTAGGGCTCTATACACATTGGAGTGATTTGAATATAATAAAAAAGACATTAACTTGTTTTGTTTATTTAGGCACTATTATGCTTTTTGGGTTTGCCCTTTTCTTGTAGTGTGATATAGG